CCCCCCCCCCCCCCCCCCCCCCCCCCACCCAAAAAAAAAAAGAAGGGCCACTATCCCTACGCTCTGCCTCTGAATTTTCAGATTAAAACAGGATAAAAGTCCTTTTATCCATAAGTGGAGAGTTATTGCTTTTTTAGGAGAAATTGTTATAATTTGGGGAATAATATCTAAGGTCTGTGAGTATCTATGGAAAAGCCCTAACAAAAAGTTTACAGAACTACTTAACACAAACTCTCCAATTTTCAGAAGATATCCAGGTGGGCATTTATTGGGGAAAAAAATATTTGTTATCCCATTTTTCCCAAAGTTGTTGCATCAGATATACTATGCAATATCCATCAATGAGATCTATGTTGTGGCATGCCATGTTGTGTGTCCATCTGCTTTTTAGCAAAAAAAATGTACACTAATGCAAATCTAAAAAGAGAAACTTTACACTGTTTCCAACTGTATTAACCAAAATTATTATAATTTGGGGAATGATATCTATGGTTTGGGAGTATCTATGGAAAAGCCCTAACAAAAAGTTTACAAAACTATTTAGCACAAACTCTCCAATTTTCAGAAGATGACCAGGTGGACATTTATTGGAAAAAGTATTTGTTAACCCATTTTCCCAAAGTTTGTTACGTCAGATGTACTATCCATCTCTGTTACCTGAGTACTAATATGGAGCCGTACGTGTGCTGACACATTATCATACCCCTGCTTGTACCTGTACCTGGCACTTATCGGACACTCCTTAAATATATGCATATATTTATTTGGACATGTACTCAGTTATCGAATGCATGTTTAGTTTAAAACACTTGCTATACACTTCTTGGAGATACACACACACACACACTTAACATCCATTTCTGTAACTTGTAGGGTAAGGGTCGAGTTGGTTTCAACCTTAAGAACTACGATTTTAAAAGTCATTTACATAAATAGCTCAGAACAATAATTATACCCCATGAGTTTCAACCGCATCCTCGTACCCTACCTTTTACTATACACTTCTTGGATATATATCCTATACTTCACATCCATTTTTGTAACTTGTTGGATAAGGGTCAAGTTCGTTTCAACCTTAAGAACTACAATTTAGAAAAAGTCATTTACATATATAGCTCAGAACAATGGTTATATCCCATGAGTTTCAACCGTGTCCTCGTACCCTACCTTTTACAAATTTGATGCGTCTCATACCCATCTCCGTTCCAGCACCCTTATCCATACCCGTATCCGTGCAACTTAGCTATCCACATTGTGGCATGCCATGTTTGTGTCCATGCCTTTGCTTTTTCGCAAAACAATGTACACTAATGTAAATCTAAAAAGAGAAACTTTACACTGTTTTCAACTGTACCAACCAAAATAAATTAGGAAATTAGTGATTTTCTCATGAACGAGAGAGGTCTTATACCCCCTTGAAATGCACAGAGGCTTTCTTTCCCTTATTCCTTATTCCTCCAATATCTCCTTCCAAATCTGCAGCCTATCTCTAAAGACGACAATGTGTTGAACCAACAAGGGCGCCATTTAGAATTTTGGGAGTCCAGCAGTCATCCATCTGAAGTGTGCAAAAGGAGAAAATGAAGAACAAAAATAAGAAGAAAACTGAGGGAATACAAATGGATTTCGGGGATAATGGCTGCATCAATTTGAATGAGTTGGGTTTATTTGATTCTCCCTCCATTCTACCCAGCGGCCTCTGTAGGAGTTGAATACTTATGCATTTTGAATAAAATTAGGTCTTCCTTTATGAGTGTGTTAGTGATATGACATCGAAAAAGAAAGAGATTTAACAAAAAAATCTCGTCAAATTGTCAAATTGGCCCTCTAGCTAATTCCTCTAGGAAAATTATTTGCATAAGGTTTTCCCATAAATATTAGAATCTCACAGGTATAAAAACCTACCTTTTTCATCATTCAGTTTTAAGATTGTGCAATTAAGAAGCAGCCCACCTAAATTCGCTAGTATAAAATAATAATAACAAAAGAACCTAGAACGCAAAATAACGGATTTGTTATACAGAAATAATTTTATGTTAAACTTCAATAAGGGTCAATAAGCTCAAGCATATAAGAAATTATAATCAAGTTGCTGCAACAAATTGCAGAACATAAAATGATGAAAATATATACTAGGCCATAACAGAAATATAAAGGTAATCTTAAATTAATGAAAAAAATTCCAATAAGCTATGGAATAGTCTGAAAATGGAAGTCTGGTAAATACTTTGGGCTCTGAATTCCATCTGAATGTTTCCTTTTTTTCTTTGATTTTGGGGGAGTTCCTGTGCTGACAACATTCTCAGTATGTGCACAAAAATCTTCATGATATTTCATTTTACAATCTGAACACTCCCCAAATTCCCTGATCGCCAGAAAATCACCACCAGACACTATATGTTGCTTCTTCAGACTTCCAGAACACCGCATGCTACATGGATCATCGCCAAGCTCTATCAAACTCATCTGTGTAGCAACCTTCTTTCTTACCCTGATACAAGAAGGTTAATGCTATTAGAAAAGAGTTTGTAATATCTCAATAGTTATGAGCATAGTGCACATTAAAATTGACATGTCAGCAAACAGAATGCTTTACTGTCCAGAATGATCATAATGCAGCAACCTACAATTTACATATTATAAAAATCTGCAATCATGTTGTTGTGTTATCCTGACATAAAATTCAAACTAACAAATATAACAGTGCAACTTCTGGAATCAGAATGCAACTAATAGATTCCACTCATTTGAAAATTTGATTATATTGCCTGTTGGAGTACAATGTGATTTTTACCAAAAGTCGAGATAGTAGAAAATTGTTTTTTACAAAGTAATGCGACTGGACATATGAATACAGCACCATCGGAACATAAGAGTAAAATGATCAGAGAAAAGCAAAAAAAAATGAAAACATTAATCTGACAAACAACTCAAGTTTAAAGAAGTACAAGCTTAGATAACCTACCTATTCATGGACTCTACCTTGCGCTCTTCTCAGTTCTCACACTATCAATTAGCCTACCTATCTTGCCCTCCCCACACATTTATCTTCCTTTCATTTACAATATTGGATTCTAAAAATATCGGCTACTCCATGCATTGCTTTAGGGTTAACCTTCTCATTGGTGAATTTCAGTCAGATTCTTGCAGACAAGTTTGCACCAGCACTATGACCAAATGATTTGAATCACACTTGAACATCTACAACAAGCATGTCTTTGATCCAAAACATTTGCTGATAGATATGAATAGGACCCAAAGTACTCATTCCAGGGACCAAATTTTCCTTCTAGTCATATTAAGTTCCGGATTAAAATACACAGTTTCTCTTGTTCATTGTCTACAAATTTCAGGTTTAGAAATAACTCTACTACATGGAATCACACTGGATAGCTAAAGAGTGAAATGGTGATTTACAGTATCAAATCAAAGTTTGCAATGCCATAAGTTGTCACTTAGCTCACAACCCAAAACATTTATTAGGAAGTGTAAGATGAAATGGTGATTATTTATTAGGAAGTGTAAGATGAAAGAAAATTTATTTAGATTTTACTGCTGAAAACTACCGAATTTATAGTTTACACGATTCTAAGCTCCACACAGGTCTAAAACAAACGAAAATATAAAAATAATCTAGGTATACTAGAACTGTAAATAAAGGAACTTAAACACAGAATATTTCCTAAAGAAGTGATTACAATCCTGGACATTGGTGGAAATTTTTCTGAAACATGGTCTTGATAGGCTACATGTGATTGATCACAGCTTGCAAAGATGTTTTTAACAAAATAACTATTTATCAGAGATGGAGATTTAAATAGAATGAAGACTATAACAGTTTTGTTCCCATACTAATGCTTGTCTTGTATGTAGAGATGGCAACTGCAACTAAGAAAATCAGCAGAAGCCTCATCAATTCAAACTAATATAAATTAATATGTTTCCACTCCATGGGATGTTCTAAGAGTCTGGCTCTTCCACGGCCAAACCCGTGAGCCTGTTGGCGGTGAAAGCCATGTGACCCACTGAGTGCAACACATGTTTTAAACCCAATTACACTTTTGTAAGTCTGGGACTATTTGGGGCATCACAGGTTCAGAACTTGATGCATTCTGCCTCATATTACTTTAGACATGCAAGTTTTACATTGTTATCTCAAGATTTGGTAGTATGGCCATTAAAATATCAATGCAATGCAGTAATGCACCACTCTGATTTCCAAATGATGATACAGATCACACTTAGAAGGTTTCATGCAAATAACATGATAAATGTATCTAAAGAATTTTGTATAACTAAAACCAACCTAATGGTGTCCTTGTCCTTCAAAACACATGTTGACTCAAAAGGTGGTAAAACGAAACCATCCATCTGCAACACAACACAAAAATGAATAAACCAGAGACTTTGAGGGGGAAAATGATAATGAATAAGCTAGAGAATATGTTATGCATGCATACCATGCATACATGAGTACATGTAAGTGATCATAATGCTACAAACTGAAGAACATGCTAACACACAACTCGCTGAAACGTTCTTGCAGTACAAACTATGACAACTCGCTGAAACGTTCTTGCAGTACAAACTATGTGCTTAGACGCACAAGCGCGTGGACATATGCATATCACTAACGTCAGTAATGTAATGAAGATTGTGAGATGTGATATAAAAGTCATTGTTCACTCATATAATTAAGACCGGTAAGGTATTGAATGTTAGTAGGTATAATATAATGGCCTAACAAAGGCATCATAGCAATGTTCCAAATCAATTACTATGGTAATAAGATAACACAGGATTTCATAAAAAGAAGATGCATCTCTACTTTTGTTTTTGATTGGCGTTGAAGCAACGTTAATAATCTGTATTTGATCATATAATTTCTTTTCTCTTTCGAATCTTTCATCTTAAACTACAGGGAAACAATGAAGCCATTTTCTCTTACAGCTTCCGCATGTTACAATTTCTTCATAGTTTGTGCACTAAACTCTAAATGAAAAGAATCCAGCATTACAAAGTGAATAATATTAAAAGCTGATTTTTTTTAAAAAAATATGAAAAAATAAAAGAACTTCACTTTTCGCAGCAAAAGGCGAAAGACGAAGACAGGATTAACCAAAAGTTTTCCTTTTTCAAATCAACACATTGCATTTATCTCAAAAAGAGAATTTGTTTTCCTCAATAACACGACGCATGTCACTTGAATCCTCAATTTCTCACAGTACAACCCAAATCATCAAGTCCCAAACCCCAAAATGTTGCTAATCTAGGGATCTCACAGAGAGGAGGAGGCCATTAGGGCAAGATCGCTGGAGATTGAAGCTCCTGTGCACGTGCAAAGCGAGGTCGGAAATAGTGGCAATGTCCGGCCTCAGGAGAATCCAGCAGTGCTTCAGGCCCTCTGATCTCTGAGACTTCGTCAGCATCTTGCGATCGTCGAAGGCCACTCGAACCCTTAAAGGGTCTTCCATGGCGATGTAGGAGGAGAGAGGAGATCAGAGAATTTGGGGCAGAATTTTGGGGAGATGAACGCTCCTTAAACCCTTTTGTGGCCTCCGAGAAATAAAAGGGGAGGGTTTTATTGTTTTTCCCCTTATTTTCTGAGTGCTTTTTTTTTTTTTTAGGTGAAGATCAGTGCTGAGTGGTACTGTCAGGTCAGAAATTATACAGTCGAAACGCAGACATCAAAGCATTGCGCTCTGTAATCTGGGATTAAACTTGAATTAATTTTTGGACAAAAGACTAATTTTGAAGTTTAATTAAGAAAATCGACCAAATTAGTTATTAGTTAGGGGTTGTCTGCTTCAATAAAAAGATCCGGAAAATAGGGTTTCGAACCTGACATTAGTGTCAACTCAGACTTTTATTTCCCCCGTTTTTTTCCCTAAGTTTGATGCAACATTCTAAGAAACTAAACTCAAAAACGACCCGTCACGGCATAATTACGAGAAATCTATTTCAAAGCTAATAAATGCTCTGAAACAGGCTGCGAACAGATCCCGAGAATAAAAAAACTTCCCCGCGTCACTTCCCTTTTCTAGTCGCAAATATTTTGGGAAAATGAATCTAGGTTATATTCATCGTTTTTCCTCCAAACTTCCATCTTCCCTCTTTTGCTTTCCACCTCCATTGCTCACAACATAAAAACTCTAGTCAAATTTTTACCCAAAAATTAAGTTGATCTTTAATTAGCTGCTTGTTACAATGATGAGGACTCTTTGATTGAGTAAGGGCGATGCTGATCTAAGTCAAAAATTATCTATCCTTGCGAAGTTCAGATCATTGGAGCAAAAAGATAGTTTTGTTCTTATTGATTTTTGTTCTACTTGTTGAGGATTTCTCTCTATCTTATTGGAATCTATTTTTTTAGAGATGCATTAACTTTGTTAGTTGTAGTTAGTAGTATTTGATGGTATGTGCCTTTTTTAAAATTTTAGGAAATACTAATTGATAGATCATGCACGTGCAATAGAGTTTGTTATTTGTAAGATTTTTTAGGAAATATTAATTATTAGATCATTCATTCGAATTCCCTTTTGAGAGAAAGTAAGCTAGTTCAAAGAAAATAAGTTGTTTTTTCTATATTTATATTATTTTAATGTTTTAATGGTGAAAATATGGTTAGTTCACTGAGCCATTATGTGATGGTGGGTACATTTTTCGAGTATGCTTCAAGTCTTATTCCCCTAAACAATAGATTTTGATAGTCTTTTTATTGACTAGATGATTTTATGCACAAATATTGCTAATTTTAATTGATGTTATGTATGTGTTTTATTTTTTATTTGTAGTAAGTAGTAATTGGTAATTGTTTGACATGCAACAATGTTTGATATACTTAGGAAGTAATTTAATTGACACGTAATAGACTCTGATGTTTATAATAATATTATTAAGTAGATGGATGCATGCACAGATATTGCTTGCTTTAATAAATTTATATGTGGCTGAGTGTTAAATTTAATTTGATGATTTGCATGCTTCGATTATTTCTTTAAAACTTTGGATTTCAATGCTTTCCTATCCTCTTTAGAAGCTTCTTTAGTTTTTACCTTGCCTTTTTTTATTACATTCTAACTTTTAACCCAGGCGAAAAATTTGCAATGCATGTTTGGACATTTGGTGCGGCCTCACAATAAAATTCCCTTTTTAATTCATTCATGCACAACTTTACTGGTGTTGGGATATTGTAGAAACAACAAACATCCATTGCTTGAGATCTTTTGGGATGGAAGCATAGCTTAATGTTTATGAGATAAAAAGAATGGTAACATTCAATATTGATTGTGAGCAAGATACAAAAGCTTGAGTTGTTATATACATGAAACATACATTGCTCATTTTTTACTGTTGGCCATGATTGACATTTGGAGTGTTTTTTTAATAAAAAATTCTATATGAACATGTATCTTCACCATTCATTAATAATTGTAAAAACTTTATTTTGAGGGGTCATCACATCCCAATAACCATATGTTACATTTCCAGTTTTGTTTTTATTACCTACTAAACAGAGGAAACTGATGAAATAAGATAACCATCATCTGGTTTCTTCTTCTTCTTCTTCTTTTTTTTTTTTTGAACCAAACGCTAAGATGGGAAGCAATGTGTTTCAAGTCCTTCATTTCCATGTGAACCAAACAAAAAGAAAAACATATTCCAAGAAACATATAGAATGGCATGGAAACGGGTTTTCAATCTACATTTTCACTTCCAAATTTTTCAGGGAATGAACCAAATAGACCCTTACCAAAACCGATTGACTTTTGTTTTTTCCACGTTAGTGATATCGATGGAGAATCAATTAGTTCTCAAATTTTTATTTTTTTAAGTCTTCGGGAGTATAGATCCCATGAACTTAACAATTTGATCACATTGATAAAGATAAATGTGAACTCAATCGAAAAAGGATCCTAGCTAACCCCATATCCTCGTGTGTATGGATGATACGAACTGTTGGCCTTCTTATTTTGATGATGTTTAACAAACAATTTACCACTAATGTTGTTTGTCTAGTATTTGTGTTTTCTTATTTATTATAGACAAACAACGTAGTTGGAGGATGGATGGATTAGAGCTTCAACGATCATATCCAAAGGAGGTTGGCGGACTGTCGGGTTGAAGCCTTGCAATTCAAGTTTAAGATCCAAGTTCAGCTTCATTCGTATAGTGTACCAAGTCAAGCTTATTGAAGATCAATATTGCTTGGGTATATTAGTTTAGATTTATATTATGTGTGTTCAATACTTTAAGCTCAATCATATACACACATACACGTATTTGGTTTTATATATATATAGTCATATATATAAATACAAGTTTTGATTTTCTAGTTTAAATATGAAACAAATACATATTTATATATATACATGTTTGTTTTCATATGGTTAAGTTGTTTTGGTTTAGTTATGTAGATATGAAACAATATATAAATTCATATACACTTTTATTTGTTTCATATTCTATTGTATTTAGAAAATATTGTGTTTATAGATTGAAGACTTGTTCACACTATTTTCATATCTCGTATAATGTCTACAAATCCATTCACATATTTATTATCATATATACAAACATTTTCCCAAGTTTTACTAATTTTGGAGTTGTTTTGTTAACATATTTATTATCATATATACAAACATTTTCCCAAGTTTTACTAATTTTGGAGTTGTTTTGTTATTTTTTAATTGAATTTATAAAACCGAGTTTTCAGTAGTTTTTCAGAAACTGTTTATCTGTGTTCAAACATTTATTTCTCTCAACTGGGAAGTGATTTTTTAGAAATTCTTTCTCTAAAATGTTCATCTACATGTCTATAACCTTCCCTCAAAATTTCATGATTTTTAGAGTTGATTTACTATTTTTAATTGATTTTACAAAACCAGAGACGCAGAAAAATCAGATCTGCCAGACTGCTACAGTACCCACGGTCGACCGCTATAGTCGACCGTGAAAGTTATTGTAGCATAACGACTATATTTTCCTGGTTCTGATTTTTTGGGGATTTGCATCGTTTTTTGGGCTTTTCTTTGGCTTTGGGTTGTTGTCTTGAGTTCTTATACATACCCATCATCCCTCAACACTTACATACAACAAGAGAATGTTTTAAAGAGTTTTAAATAGAGTTTAAGATTGTTTTAAGCTTGTTTAAGGGTTTGGTTTATGAAGAAAGTTTTACAAGAGCTTGAGGAGATTATCAATTGTATTTTGGGCATTCAATCCATCTCTCACTCTTGTCATCTATTGAGAAGTTTTCTAAACTCTACTCTAGCTTTTATTTATTAATTATTTGTTAATTATCATTTCTATTAAAGCTAGTTTTATATTAAGTTTAGATTTGATTTTACTCATTGTTACACACACCCACTTGAGCTTATTGTATTTGCATCATAATATATTGTGGCGGTTGTGAGAGTTGTAACATTGAGTGTGAGCTTTCATTGTGTCTCATCCAAGTAGAGAACAAACATTTTATTAAACCTAATTGTGAGATTCACTTTGTAATACACTTGCTACACCGAGAGAGTGTGTGGTGAGAGTCGGGGATCGCGTCCAAGAGGAGTGGCGTCGTTGTACGAACCTAGGGGAGAGTTGTAACCGAGCCACTTGAGGGAACCAGCTAGGTCCAACACTTGTGAGGTGTAGAGTGTGATTTGTAAGAGTAATTGATTGTAAAGTTTTCGGTTAGCTAGAAAACGAGTGTGAGGTGTAAACGTTATTCAGGTGAACGTAGAAAACCCCGTTGTGATAGTGGATTTCTCCCCGGGAGTGGCGGAGCCCGGAGACGTAGGACGGAAGGTCCGAACTCCGTGATCATTTGAGTGTGTTTGAGTTTGTCATTGGCGCATTTGCTTTTGCATTTATCTTATATCGCCAATTGTGCATTGCTCATTTATTTCATCCACTATCTAGTTCATATTGTTTACCCTTGTGTTAGTTTTATATCCTTGCCCATGTAGGCATCGAAAATTACCTATAGATCTCCACGAACAGCTCAGTGTTAAGGAACGACGATGAACGTCACTATCTGGTCCACAGGAGTTCGATTGATGTCGGTGAACGCTTGAAGTGAATCGACGAACTACGTGGACTAACAGAATCTCGGAATAACGAAGGTACGGGCTAATCGGGAGCCCCGCGATGTTTACAAAAAGAACAATGCCCTTCGTGTCTCATTCACTCTACAGATGATCCAACCATCGGAGCTGATAGAACTCCTTGTCGGCTTTCCAACGCACTTTAAATCACTCAAATCCGAGTTCGGACGAAGAATTTACAGCGAAAACAAACTTATACACCATAACGGAGTGTCTCGGACCAACGAGACACCCTAAGGTGTCTCGGCCAAAGCCGAGACACCCTAGGGGGTCTCGGCCAAGGCCGAGAATGAGGGCCTGAGGCTTGTATTTATAGGCTCGGGGGAGTTTGGAGCGGTTAAAACCACTTAAAGGCCCAAATCTGCGTTGGAGACACCCTGGGGTGTCTCCAACGTAGATTTGGGCCTTTAGGTGGTTTTAACCGCTCCAAACTCCCCGGGCCTATAAATACAAGCCTCAGGCCCTCATTTTTTAAGATCTGGAATTTTGGAGATTAGGCGAAGCCCTGCCGGATTGAAGACTGAAGGTGC